AAACTGTGAAATTGCTTGGTAACTGTAGATTTGGTGAGCGTTTCAAGATTGCATGTTTTTTGCTCATTTTTCATTTTGCTCGAACATGACCTCAGTTTGACCTCAATAACTCCTGACCTAAGGTGACCTAAAACTTGAAATTTTGTGTGAAGGTGTCAAATTGATGCCCGGGAAGGTAGGTACTGAAAATTTGGCGGCTATTCAGGAAAAACCACGGGGGGGGGGCAAATTGCCCCCCCAAACGGGGCGAGGGTTAATGATCCTAATCAACTTCTGATCGGTGGGAACGTTTTACGCAGTGTGCCTTAAAGGAAAAGGGCCACCTTCGTGAAATATGAAGATATCGTTGTTTTTCATTTTGACATTATTATTTTTCATTTTCTTTTTAAAACTGGTGCCAGAAGTGCACAATTCGCGAAAAAGTATTTAAAACTATTTAACATATTGGTACTATGTTGATACTCTCTACGGCACCTACTGTATGATGGCATAGCGATGACGTCACACTCAAGCCAATCAGCGTTCAGAAGACAGACTCGTCGGATTGTGTCAGATAAGCTGATTGGTTAAAGCTGAGCTGGTTGGAGCTGATTGGTAAAAAACCAAAGCCTCGCCGCGGGTGGCTGTATTGTCGGAAGAACGCATTCCTGGGATAAGGACGCATTCCTGGGGTATTTTCTTTTAAAATTGCCGATAACTACGAATGGAGGCCGAAATCGGCCGTAAGGAGGTAGACAGATAGGTTTTCGGACACGGGCTACAAGATGGCTATCTCAGTTTCAATCCCCATGTTAAAGGTGGCCCTTTTCCTTTAACCTAAACTTGAGCTCACTCGAAGCAGGCACTTGCAGCTACTTCCGGCCCACATATATGCGAGAAGCGGACAGCTAAAAATCCATCCCGTTGCGAGCCACCCCGTGAGCCGCTTTGATGCCCAGCAAATGAAACAGGTTCTCTATCCGCCAGAATCGCCCCTAATCGGCTCAGATTCCAGCGCAGCAGCTGGTTTTCAGGACGTTGAAGCCGCGCCCTGTAACGAGCAAAACTGAACGGTTCTCACTTTTCTTCTCCCCTTATTAACACGATTTTTTCCTTCTTTCCAGTGCCTAGGTAGGTCAGGGACGTAGCCAGGGGGGGGGGGGGGCACGGGGGCCATGCCCCCTGAAGGCGAAAAAAAAATAGAATTAAAAAAAAAAACAACAGCTGCACCCCCAAAAAAGGACCAAATTCGAGGAGTTTTCCTTTTTTGAGGGGATAAGACACTAGGCCGCGACCTGTGACCCCTCCCTGACCAGAATCCTGGCTTCGTGCCTGAGTTAGGTAACTCAAAGTGGGGCTTCTAGGAGCTACTATCGTAAAATTGCTCGATACGAAAAGAGTAGGCTCCTGAATCGCCAATTAGGTATCTTGATAGGTATGCCCCGAGCACCATTCTTAGTAGAAGCACTGCAACACAGGTGGCTTAGCCCTCGCCCACAAAGGGAGAAGGGTCGAACGGACACCCTCCTCGGTTTTTCGCGAATAACTCGCGTAAAGAGCGGTCGATCGCGACGAAACTTTCAGTACCCTCGCGTTGATCAATTTTACACCTATCTTAAAATTCCATGAACCTGACCCAAATGACCTTTGACATGTGACCTACTTTTCGAGACCATATTGGCCGGAATCGCGATTCGGCGTAGGTATGTCGGCTCGCATTTGCCGCGCGTTTGCAGTCTTTTCGTGGTTTCAAGCATTCAAACATGTGATATGATGTTGGTCCCATGCATTAGGGTGGGTGTCAAGATCACCTGAAGGTCAGGTCAGGTCATTGACCTTTGATGACCTCGGTTCACTTATTCGAGTTTTACATGTTTCATGACTAGTTTTTGGAGCTAAATTCGAATGTAGCAACCATATGAACATTTACGAAGTAGTGTTGGTGCCTTCGTAACATTTTACGAAGCTGTCAAAGGCGGTTGACACCTATTACAAATGCTCGGCAGGACCTCTGCTGGTTAACCTGACCTGATCTGACCCGACCTAAATGCATGAAGACATCATCTGTGATCAAAACTAACATGATATTCGTGATTAGCACCCCGAAAAACCATAGCAGTTGCCCTTTACGACGTTCTAACGGGTCCCGATCTTCCCAACTTTTGCGTCATTAACCTGACCTGGAAGGTCAATCAATGACCTAGGACCTTAAAATTGGGTATCATCGGCTTCCTCTCGTTACGGGCAACACGCTCGTTTGTCCGCGAAGCTCTAGCTGGATCAGGGGCCAAAGGGCAAGGGGGTCCAACGGACCCCCCCCTCTCTATACGTTCGCGGCTGGAAAAACACCAATACGGGCGAGGGTTAAAATGGATTTGGCAGGGAAGCTTTGAGATGTGCAAGACTCATGTACTACCTAGGACAAATGATGACCTTTGCGTGAAATAAATGCTTCACCTCCATTTCATGCCCATACATGTTATTTTCCTTTGAACTTTTTTGTACTGGAAATTGGAATTGATGGTGCACTGTGAAGTCACTTTCAAGCCGAAATGTATTGGATAGTCTGCGCTCTCTGCTGATTCATAATGAAATGACCACATTTGGGCTTCAATCCTTACAGCTCAGACGAAACAAGAGTTATTGGACGATTTCACGCGTCAGAGAAAAAGTAAGGCCGAAGAACTCAGCAGTTGAATTACCGCTATTTGCTGTGAAAGCCGACAGCGGACATAACACACCTCACAGACGAAATAGGCAAATAGAAACCGACGTGCATGCACGATTCCAGATTCAGAAATGTTCTGGGAAACTGAAACGGGTTTTCAGCAGGAGGCAGACGGCGTGGAGACTTGTCGAGTTGAAGTGCTGAATATCCGAAAGGCTGCTCAGATTAATGGCTTCGGAATTTCCGAGCCACCCAGTTCGGCTTGGACTAGCAAGCTGAACTCGAGAAACTGGAAGGATTTTTTAGTTTGCAGCTCTTAATAGGCATCGCTATGCAGAATTCCGTGAATACATAAGAAAAACTAACACTCGTCTCGGAAAGCCGTTCCTTCATTTTTTCTTTTTTCATTTGCAAAAAAAAAAACTCCAAAGCCTTCCTGAAGTTATGCTGCCGCAAGCCTGAATAGGTATAGAGTGCACCGTACTACACACACCTCAAGGTGTACCGCACCACACTATATACATACCTACGCCTGAAGGCAGACTCTACCGCACTATATACGCCTGAAGGTAGACTGTACCGCACTACACATATACGCCTAAAGGTAGTCTGTACCGCACTACACGCGACCAAAGGTAGAATGCCGCACTATGCAGCCCTGAAGGTAGACTGTACCGCATTATATATGTACTACCTGTTTGGTGTTGGAATTACGCCCAAAGAAACGTGGTGACTTCCCGGGCTGAGCCGAATTTACGCTGGGTGTGCCGGCTGAGGTCGGTCTCGGACTCCAATCAGTGAACACTCATCGGCCGCCGTGTGCTTGTTCCATCGTCCACTCGGTTATATGAGGGAAATGGCTAGGATTGGGCCCCATGAGCTGTTCCATGCCCTCTGCGGCCGTCAGTGCACGCGATTAATTATTTTGAATTTTGATCATTGCTGATCTGTTTTTCTGAATGCTGAAAAATGCATAGACGGTTTTGGTCAATCATGAATTCCCGGCTTTCAATGACGAATAGTTTAGACCATTGACGATTTGATTTGCACAATGTTGAACTATTCGCTCAATGTCGAGTTGTAGAGGAGGATCGCCGAATACTTTCGCACAATGGTAATTCTTTGTGACCAACCGCCCATTTGTAGTGCCATCTATATGGCGAATGTGTATGTACAAATGTTTTGCCCAATGCATGGGCGCAATGGTCAAAAGCTAACGCAAAAAGGTGCATACTGTAGCACACATCACGCGCCTGAAAGTAGACTGTACCGCATTACACACGCCTGAAGAAAAACTGTACCGCACTATACATATGCGTCTGGTGAAGGCAGACTGTACCGTACTACACATGTCCGTGTACCGTGTACGTACAGTGTACACATGTCCAAAGGTAGACTAGCGCTTCACACACGCATATGTATAAGGCAGATTGTATCGCATTACTTGCGCCTGAAGGTAGACTGCACCGCACTTCCTACGCCTGAAGGTAGACTGTACAGCAGTATATGCACCTGAGGGTAGACTGTACCGCATTACGCACGCCTGAAGGTAGACTGTACCGCACTGCACGCGCCTGAAGATAGACTGCACCGCATTGCACGCGCCTGAAGATAGAGTGTGCCGCACGGCACACGCCTCAATATAGACTGTAGGTACTAGGTAGAACTAGACTGTACGTAGGGCTGCATACGCCTGAAGGTAGACTTAAGACTACCGTAATTCATACGCCTAAAGACATGATCAAAATGATCAGCGTTGACAGCCAGGATTGTGCTGGATATTTTGTCGTCACTATCTGCTTGCTGGGGGAGCGCGCCCGGAGGGGGTTGTAGCTTGTTGAGTTGAGGGCGTTAAACGCACACAGCCTGTAACTTCTGGGAAGCCGTCCTATTCTCAGTATTTTGGAGCCCAGGTAATTGAAATCCCTCAGCTGAGATTTGTAGCAAAAACATAGAAGATTTCACCTTTATTGCGAACTTAGTCTGAGACTCGCCAAGCAAAAGGTGTTGAGGTTAAACTATTCTGTGTTTCCACGCAAAAAAAAAAAAAACTTGTAACAGGCGACAGCATTTCTGAATGAACTCTCGCCATTGCAAACATAGCATGACACCGAATCACCGCTGGATGTCACAGCTATTCGACTAGCCAGATAATAGCTTGTGCTTATCATTCAATTATGTGGCGACTGAGGGCAATTTCTGGTGATAGATGACGCCATAATTCACATTTGAGGAGCAAAAGCTCGATTTCACGGCATTTGTCGCACCGAATTATGCCTGTCACCTTCGATATCGATGTCATCCATTTACCAAGCTTTAAAATTACATAAAAATTCACGTAAACAACTACTCCACCGGGGTACCGTGTCTTTCATAGTGTCAATCAAATAACCAATCGGAAAACTATTTTAGGGCTAGAGTATTTCTCGCAATACCGCGCACCAATGCAGACCGCTGATCTACGGACAGCTCTTGAATGAGACATCACTCGATCAGCCCACCGGCCATAACCAAATACATCTTTCACAGGCGAACCCAGCCGGGCCGATGAGATACGCCCCGGCCAAACATTGAGCGCGCCGCCCGGGCTCATCGCCGGCAGAGTATCGATAACATCCGCGGGCTCAGCCACTCGGTTTATTTACCGTTATCACATCCTTACATTAATCAGCACGTAACAGCGTGGCTCCGGCCCCCAGGGCGTCGGGGGCCTCAAATACGAACATTATACGTCCCGGCAGTCTCTCAATCATTTAAACAGAAGTGGTCTTGCCGTCAGCTTTGCGCAGCATGCTCGCTGGGCGCGTGAGCGATCGAAGTTGAGATCCTCTGGAGGGCTTCCTCCTTGCCGAGAACAGCGATCATTTCTGCGACGCCGGGTCCCTCCTGAAATAAGGTTCACAGGGTTCAGAACAAAACGGACTCCGCTACAATCGTTAGTTACATACCGTAACAAACTACGATTGATGATACAAACAGACAAGCCAGCCATGTAAAAATATTCATGGCCGTCAATATAGCTCAATATAGTTCAACATTGACAAATTTTCGGACTAAACAGTAAATTTAGACCTCTACGCGCACAAACAGATAACATGTTACGAATAAGCATACGTTCGAAAGCCAGTGAAATGTGTGGCAAGGCCAAACTCAATTATTGAAATGTAATCATCAGAAGCAAGGTGCCACTAAATTAACAAACGGCTACCGCGTGACTGAACAGAGTTAAGATCGGGTCAGGGCGCGCCCAGGTCCGACCCATGACCGCCCCACCCTATTACAGAGACCGACCACGTGCCACCGATCCATTCATGTTAGCGACGTGGCGGGGCGGGCGAGCTTCCATTCCTGGATGACCCCTGCAGACGTGATTTCCAGCACCCCCTCCCTGACATTTAACCACGTCACTTGGGCGCGTGCGACTCGTACAGAGTGACTGGGAGGTTTGGTGAGTTGTGTCCTATCTGGTTTGTAACTCACCAGACTTCACTCTCACTCACTAGCTGCCTCACTCACTCACTGACCAAAAACTCACTCACCCACTTATTTACTCACTCACTCACTCACTCACTCACTCACTCACTCACTCACTCACTCACTCACTCACTCACTCACTCACTCACTCACTCACTCTCACCTCCACTCCACTGAGCGCCAATCGAAGCAGCTTCATCAGCGCGCTGAACTTGATTCTTCTCTCGCCGGCCACGGCGCGGAACAGGGGCACCAGCTCGTCCTTGGTCAGTGAATCCTCCGGCCGGCCGGACAAGCGGTCGAGCAGAACTGACAGCGTGCCCGCTGTGGATGGAACACAGGACACTGTTGTTAGGTGGGGGTTTGACGTGACGGGGCTCGATTGAGATCTTAGTGCTGGGATACATACGACGATTTAGGCATAATATCCGCTTGCTACAGGTGTTCCTCGGCCAAATACGAGTATAATTATGTAACTGAACCTCATGCGAATGCGCATTAGATGAACATGACCTACTTAAACACCCACTAAAATGGCATTGGTGACTTAATTGCTTCTCCATTCACTTCTTCCTTCCTCATTCATCTGGGAAAGGGAGGGTTGCTTATTCGCACCCAGCGGCCAGCCTCTCCGTCCCCATTCCCTCAACTATCAAGCGTAGAAGAACTCGCACCTCCCTCCTTCCATCTATCACTTAGCTCTTCCCTTCCCCAGCTCTCCATCAACCCCAAACTGTCTCTGTTCCCTTCCCACTCGGACAGAAGTAGCCACCCCCTCCCTCTCCCGCTCACCTGGGTCCTCCACGGGCATCTGGTCGTCCCTCAGTCGCTCCGGCACCGCCCACAGGTAGCTGAAGTCCCGCGACACAAGATCCGACAGGTACTCGATCCGTGCGTTGTCCAGCGACCACCTCAGCACACGGTCTATGTAGGCGTCGGTAAGCACGTGAGGCGCTAGTGGTGGTCCGCTGCTGTGGAGAGAGAGAGAGAGAGAGAGAGAGAGAGAGAGAGAGAGAGAGAGAGAGAGAGAGAGAGAGAGAGAGAGAGAGAGAGAGAGAGAGAGTCACAACTCACATACACATCACTGAGTCGATATGAGGCTTTCCTCCAGGCTAAAGCCCCGAGGGCATCGTCGATTGAAGGCGAAGATAACATGTTTGTACGTCAGATGATATGGAAGTGGTATTGGAAACCACCTCAGGGCCCGACGTGCTGTTGACAGAAACTGATTGTGATTTGAACGGCAGCTCGTAGTACGGCATAGAGGATGTCGTCATCGTAGTGAAAGCTGAGCGATTCAGTAGCAAAAAAAAAAAAAAAAAAAATGGAATGATGACAGCAGCATTCGTTTTTAATAAAAAAGATGTCGCCAGTCAGCATTCCTTCCTGTGAATTTCATACTTGCATCAAATCAACATATGACTAGAGTAGACTCTAGAGCGACATAAGGGCTTTTTGTGTCCATACAAATCAGTATTTTTAAGATCCCTGCTCAACGCCGAGCAGTAATTAAAGAATCAAACCAGCCCATTCAGAGTCAAATTTAGCCGACCGTCTCCTATGTCCTACTGAAGTCCCTGTCTCGTCCGTTGTCGGGCTTTGTTGGGACACTGGCCGCCGTAAAACCGGCGTCGCTCGCTCCACACCCAGTTCATTAGCCGCTGGCGCATTGTTGGACAGGGCGAGCCTTTTATCATGTGAGGAGTGGGGCTTACCTTCAGCCACCGAGAAAATGGCCGTGAAATTTCATCAGCAGCCCCGAAATGCGCCTAGCAACACTAGTGTGGACCACAAGAGTGGCATTCATATTTGACATTCGTCGAAAAAAAAAAACGAAGGCAGACTTCAAACAATCCTACAAGAGCTCAACCTAGGAGGAAATCGATATAACTCGTCATCCAAATTCACCAGATATTGCCAGTAACCACGCCAGTAACTAAGCTACCTATCGAGGATAATGCAGAGGACAGATTGGGGACATTGGGGACGATATGATGCAGGGTATATAGATGATGATCGGTAGACTGAGCTGGTTGCTATGGCAGCCAAACTGACTCGGAAGAAGTCTCAGAGCGCTCCTCTGACACTGATCCGCGGCTAGGTCGGTGTAAAAACGGCCACACCAGATAACCAGCCTGCTGAACATTCTTCTGACATGGTGGGACGGGATTTTGAGCTATGATTAGCTTTTCCGTCGACAGGATGCTGAGAGCTGTCCGCCTTCTGCCCACCGCCTACTCGTCTCAAAGGATTAAGTTCTGTCAGTTTGGTCCAAGCATGGGCACAAAACCAAGCGTTTAAAGTCAACTTACGTAACGAAAATGACAATGCAAGAAGGGCATGTCCGCAAATAAACCCCAGTTAAACACCAAAGGCGGCTTTGAGTTGAGCTCAAACTCTCTATTATAAATAGTGCACGCCTTGCGAAACTGATTTCAGGTAATTTCATTTTTATTTCATGGGTCACACTCATATGTTCCCACAATGTACTTTGTCATCTCCGATCTCCTTTAATTGCATCTGACCCCTCTCATGTGTCATATGACATCTACCATGGCCTTACAACCCACTGGTCTCTCATGACCTAAACCGCACGGTCCTTCCCGACTGACCTCATATGCAATACAACCTATCATGTCCCCTAACCCCAATTAACCTCTCCCTTTAGCCTTTGACCCCCATTCACCTCTCCCTATAACACTCGTTACTGTCACGTTCACGAACAGTTGTACTCTTTCTTCGTCAACAACTGCCTTCTTGCTTCCGCCCAACATGGCTTTCGCCGAAACTATTCTACCGAAACGGCACTTATTCAAATTGCCTACCGATCGCGTCCATCAGGCCATGGATCAGGGTCATATCTGTCTTCTTGTCTTGTTAGACCTGAGTAAATGTTTTGATGTTGTGAATCACGCCAAACTGCTTCAAAAACTTGAACTTTATGGAGTGAACACTGAGTAGTTCCAAAGTTATCTTTCGGATCATTTTCAATACGTTCGGATGAGCTCGCCACAGAACGAACAGGTGACCTCCAAACCGATGAGAAACCCGATTGGAGTGTACCAAGGTACCTCGCTCGGACCTTTGTTGTACACCGTGTACTCGAACGACATCAGTTTGTACGTAGAGAGCCAGGTGACCATCGTTCAATACGCTGATGATACTCAGCTCCTCGTTACGGGCAGAAAAAGTGACATCGCATCATTGTTCATCGCATGGAGTGTGCACTTAACACCCTGCATCGCTGGCTTATGCAAAATTCCTTGAAACTGAACTCCAGCAAGACGCAGCTTATAGTTTTGGGTACGCGCCAAATGTTACGAGGTGTTCCGCCTGTTACCCTTACCGTGAGCGGCAGTACCATCCACGAGAGTGGTCGCGTCAAAAACTTGGGCGTGGTGAAGGACCGCACACTGTCTTACGAGTACCATATAGATCAGCTTGTCGGACGATGCACTGGTCTTCTTATAGGTCTTAGTCATGCCAGATATAGACTACCGAAAGAGACTCTCATCACTATTGTCAACGCATTGGTTCTGTCAACCGTGAGATATTGTATCAGTGTCTATGGTACTGCGGTCGCCAAAAACATGTCTCGTGTTCAAAAGGTAATTAACTTCGGTGCACGAGTTATCACGGGGCGGCGCAAGCATGACCGCGTGAGTGACGCACTCAGAACTCTCACCTGGCTCCCGGCTCGTGAACTGGTCACTTACCACACTCTGTGCCTACTCAAGCGCATGTTGGTGACCGGCGCTCCTCAGGATATCGCCGAGCAGCTCTCCACAGTAGGAGAGGGGAGAGAGCGCAACACACGGCAGGACGCAGACCTCGCTCTTCCACGGATAAGATCCGAGTCCGGCCGAAGGAGATTTTTGTACCGTGCTGTGTCGGCTTTCAATGCCCTGCCTCTCGCTGTCAGGGAGCAGCCACCGGGCGCTTTTAAAAGGAATGTGAAACGGCGTCTGGGCCAATTTTAGAAAGTATGCGTGCTTGTGGGCTAAATATTTTTTATGTGTGCTTGATTGCGTCACCATCCCCTTGTATTTACTTTTTCACCTCCTATGACACGAACTCAAGAATAGCCATGTTGTATGGATGAGTTTTTAAGTGTTCAATAAACAATCAATGATAAACAATAAACTCGACCCGACTGACCTCTCCCTGTAAACTTCGACCCGACTGACCAGGCTGCTCTCCCTATGACCTTCGACCCTACTAACCTCTCCCTATGACCTCTGACCCCCCCCCCACTGACCTCTCTGCGAACCGCTCGTTGACCAGCTGCCGCACCCGGTCACACATCTTCTCCCGGTGCTGGCTGTCCTGGTGCCGACGCCTCAGAGCCAGCAGGTTCAGTCGCCGCAGTCGCTCAGGGTCCAACCGACACGAGGACGTGTTGACCCGGCTCAGCTCAAACTGGCGATCGCACAGGCGGGGAGAGTACTCGTGAGGGTGGCGTGGTTAACGCTGGGAAAAACAGTGACAAAATGACACGGTGGATGTTTTTGTCGACTCACCTGATGAAGGTAGAGTAGTTAACGCTCGGTAGAACTGTGACAGAATGTCATAGCGGATGTTTTATTGGCCCATCTATCCCTCTCCTCAGCTGTTCAGTTTTCCTCCTTTCTGAATCATGTTTCCCGCTTGCCTCGCGCCACTCCCCATTTGTTCTGTAACATCTCTTCATTATTCCCAGCTGTCATTCCTTCCCAAAATATATCAGTGATGGGGACATTCCTTCCCTCACATCTGTCTCTCTCTCTATCTTTCTCTCTTCCTCTCTTCCTTAGCCCCCCCCCCCCACTTTTCCCTCCCCTCTCCCCACCTTTTCTGTCAGCTCCCTGGCGCTCGTCAGCGCCGTTTGGTCGAGCTCCCTGAATCCTCCACCAGCCAGGCATACGTAGTTGAGCAGCGCCTCGGGTAGCACTCCCCGCTGTAGGTGCGACTCGACCGAGGCGTCCCCGTGCCGCTTACTCAGCTTCGTTCCGTCCGGGTTGGTGACCAGGGGTAGGTGCGCGAACTGCGGCGGATCCCAGCCTAACGCTCTGGCGGCAGGGGGGGGGGGGACAGATAACCACAAGAAGGTGAGCGAACTGGGGTGGATCCCAGCCTAACGCCCTGGCGGCAGGGGAGGTAGGGGGAGGTGCCGGAGTATGTATGCATGAGGAAAAGATATAGGGTCTTACAGGACATAAAAGAGATAGTTTAGAGCGATAATGGTCAGGCAGAGCTGGGAAAAAAACTAAACATAGCGATCATGGACCATAAATGAATCAGAACCAAATGCAAAAATATCCGTTGATTCTAAGTTCCAACATATATTCAGCTAACACTTTTTTCGGTACAGATGTGCTCACGGTTTTGAAAACATGATAAATAGCAGCGCACTACAGTAACCTTCATCCTCCTTCAATGCCTACCATTGTCCAGCCCGAGGAGCAGTCTTACCGGTAGAGAGCGATATGTTTGGGCGTCGAGACCTGCCACTCCACCCCGCGCAGGACGTGAGTGATGCGCATCAGGTGGTCGTCCACCACGTTAGCCAGGTGGTAGGTGGGGAAGTGATCCGCCTTCATCAGCACCGGGTCACCCTCCTGGGCAGCTACGTCGAACGTCACCTCGCCGTACACCAGGTCGGTGAAAGGTGTGTCCGTGTTCTCCAACTGGGGAAGGAGAGAGATATTCGCGTTTGGTACATGACGGATCATTTACATTACATTCAGGATATCGGAAGATGTGTCTGAACGCTGAATGCCAAGTAAGTTCGGCGACGGCAGCAGTAATTGAAGCAAGGTAACTCGAAAGTGACCTGCTGATTGCATGAACAGAGACAGCCACAGTCAAGTCAGTCCAAAAACGCAGGCCGCACCAAGCCTGGTGCCCCTCTGCCCGGCCTGAGACACCAATAAAGACAGCTGAGAGGCCAACAGACGGTTTTCCCACTGGTTCGAACCATGCACGAATGGTCACCCGCCACGCCGATTGTGTTCATCTGCGGGCAGCTTGCAAAAGTCCGCCGTGCAGCGTCCAGTCCACAGCTTCGCTCGAGACAGAAAACTTATACGGGATTACGAAGACGGTGCATAAGTCATGGACCGACGTCAGAACGGGGGTGAGGCGAAATATGCGACGTGACCGGTGCAAGAAACGGAAATAAAGTGATTTCCCAGTAAAACTAGAAACAGAATACGACTTAAATAGAGCCTCATAATGCATGGCTGAACACAGCAACACATTTATATGGATGCCTAATGCCCATTATTCCCAGACGTCTCACCAGAGTAGCCACAGTCTGGCCAATCCTCCAGCGACGTGCAAACAGCAGTGTGAACTCACCACTCACCTTCAACCTGACGACATGCGACACGCCTCGCTCCTCCAGCATGTTTCGTTTCTCCTCGGACAGGTGGCGGCAGCGGTTATCGTAGCGCGGTTTCTCGCCGCGGCCGAGCGCCTGACGCCGCAGTAGCTGTAGCCTCTGGCGCGTGCAGTAGCACCGGTAGGCGGCGCCACTGTCCAACAGGCGCTGCACGTTCTCCCGGTACAGAGCGGTACGCTCCGACTGGGTGTACGGGCCGTACGGACCTCCCACGCCCGGCCCCTCGTCCGGCTGCAGACCCATCTGGCGGCCGGAGATGGAAACAGAGGTGCGATTAGCTGACACCAGGCGTACCACAGACAGGAGAACGAATTACCGACGCTCTACGTGTCCACATCCACATTAGCCCCAAAAGAGCGGAACCTACTAGAGTAAAAATAAATGTCCATCGCTATAAAGCAGCACCACTAACCGTATCCAGGGTGTGTAGAAGCCGATCCACAGCACCAGGCACTGTGCGTGTCTGGTCTGTATCCTCAATCCTCAGCAGAAACTTGCCACCTTGGGAACGTGCAAACAGGTAGTTGTAGAGTGCTGAGCGCAGACTGCCCAGGTGCAGCTCACCTGAGGGAAAAGAGGGGAGGGGTCACATTACCACCAGGGTCAGTCAGAAGGAGAGGGACAACAAATGGGGATTGTGTGTATTGAGGAAGGGGAGAGACACATCAAAGTCATAAGTCAGTGACAGACATATCATGCAACAATCATCCCATCATACATAACATACCTGGGTGTGCACTGAGCAGCCTTACCTGTAGGACTGGGAGCGAACCTCGTCCTCACTTCCTGAAGCAGAGCAGAATGTGTGGAGAGTGGCCTGGACCATTGCTGTCTCCACATATGGTGAAGTTGAAGTGGGCTTCTCACAAAGCATTTCATGGCTTAAAACTCAGTTGTCAGCCATCAGACAATCCTGCAATATCAAACCGGTTGTTAGTTGGTTAAATTTACCAGCCTGAAAAGCATGGCAATGTTGATGAGATACCATCAGTGCAGGTGAGGTGTAGTCAGTCAGCACTGGTGCAGTACAGCTTTATAGTGGTGCTGTACAGATTTCACATGGAATGGTGTGGTAAGGGCCCTAACTTGGCACCAGGCACTGTGCTAGCGCAGTGCACTGCTGTCTCAGACAATAATGCACAGTTACCACAACAGGCCAGCCAGGGAATAATTGGAAGGTCAATGACTGACCTGAGAAGGTAAAACTGGGTATCATTGGATTCGTATCTTCCCAAAGAATCTTTTTGGTCTTTACCGCGAAGCTCTATCTCCAACAGGAACGAAATGGCGCGGGTGGTGGCAACCCCCCCCCCCCCCCATGCACGTTCTAGGATGGGAAAATGACATGTGTGGGCGAGAGTTAAAGCAATATTATTGTGCTCAGTAGAGAGTTCCAACATTTCTGTTCAACATTAGGCATGTTCGTTCTTGAAACACTGGCTTATTTTTAGACGATAGGTGATTTAGAGTCTATATTTATGCCCAAATACGGTCATGAAGACTCAATTTTTTATGCTTCCGTTTTTCATTCCAGAAGCCTAGTTTGCCAAACTGACCTTAACCTACCTATATACAAACCTGCAACCTGCTATCCCAGTTCACCTACACCTACAATTGACCTACAAACCTACAAACCTATAACCTACACCTACAAGCCTACAGTCTCCCTCGGTTACAAAAGCTTTGTGTGACGTCTGCTCTACGAATGCCAAAATTCCCAGTGTACCTATGAAATTCAATTCAATTTGTTGTGATATGACGCAATCCAAAAAAACTCTTATTACATGGTGGCCATTTCAGTTTGGGAGAGGTGCCCTTCGGGCGCATTTCGCAACAACAGCAACAAAATAAGAGGCAGCAACAGTGTCACCATGGTACAAAAAAAAATAATAGAAATTGCCAGTTGTGCGGGAAGTGGGAACCGCACCGGCTAGCGGAGGCTGATGAGCCGGTATATACTGCCTTGGATGAGCCCATCCAACTTTTTGGCTACGGAGCTTGTAATGTAGTTGAGCCCCTCCGACTGGAGCAATCGAAATGGGAAATCTACAGACATCATTTCATAGATGCATATGATATGCATAAGCGCAGGAACCATGGGACATTGGGGGCAGCTTGCCCCCACAACTCTGGGGCCGTGTGGGCGGTGCCCCACAACTTTCATAAGGCCACGAACCATAGGGGCAGCTTGTCCTCCCCAAATTAGGCGTTGTTAGGTCACAAAGGAAGAAAGCATGTAAGTGAAAAATCCACCTCTTTCACTGGCTCGGCAACTTGAACTCATTTGGTATATCAAAACCTTTAATCCCGATTCCGTCAATACCACAGTTTCTTCAGTGTTCTTCACCCAGCTGAGACGGAATACCTCACTTTTTTGCAAATGTTTTCGTTTTTTCGTTGAAAAGGCTTAGGTTGAAGTTGAAGTGTGAAAAATAAGTGGCTTAAAACCGGTGAGAAAACTAGATTTGAGGGTAACCTAGGCTGACCTCTATTATGGTGTAGCCCCCCAGTCTGGAAGAAGTTCCCGCGCCACTGGAAATCAAAATTGCGAAAATCAAGGCCCTAAATCAAAATACACAGCAAAAATCAAGCAAAAATATACACCATCGGGCCATCGGCAATCGGCATGCCATCGGTAAGAAAATTGAGCGTCTATTTTGCAACAAATGCGCAAGAACTGAGTAAGTACCAAATTCTTGAAATGTGCTGAATTGTGAAGGAGAGAAAGGGAAATAAATTAATTGAAGGGATAGCTCTGACCCTCTCTAACCCTCTCAATTAAAAAATAAAGCACACCGTTTGATGAAATACTCATAAAATTTCCATAAAAAATACTGCATCAAATTTAGAGAAATGATGTGAAAGTAAAAAAAAATGTTGAAAACTTTCGATTTATTTTTGGTAATAGCATAAATTCCCTGATGTGTGCATCCAAATCCAGCTGATTGCTTACATTTCAATTTCGGAGAGTGTAATTTGTTTGGGCTCAGTTGCAATGACGAATGCAAGAAATAAATTGAATCTGCAGCTTCCTAATATTTCAATGGGTATTGTGTCATTTTCACGCTTAAACCCTTGATAGGCATAGGTGGGCACGATCCGTTCCTCCGTTCCTCCGTTCCGGAACGCCGTTACAATTTTTAGGAACGGAGGAACGGACTCGTTACATTTTAAAAAGGGTAACGGACCAAGTAACTTCCGTTACATTGGTTGTTCGTTCCTCCGTTACAAGTTAACAGTTTAGTCCGTTCCTTCGTTCCTCCGTTACTTTTCGTTGTCCGAGCGGGTTGATCTTTCAGCTAACCCACAGACATTAATGCAGCAGCGGAATAGTGGATTATTGAGCAGCCCTGACTTGAAGACGGGAGATGGCCTCAGTGTACAGTGTACTGGCCTTCCGCAATGAGCCGGCGTTGCAGTATATATGTGTTCGCAAAGTTCAACACGGGCGTCCCTTCAAGCGCCTCAGTAGAGCGCATGTTCTCAATGGGAAAAGATGTGCTACGTGCAAAAAGGGCTACCCTCTCAGAAAGTGGCAGCGGAACATCTTCAATTAAGGGAGGGGGGGGGGGCACTGCCGACTTTTTGTTCCATTCTTTCCATGCAACGCACATAGGGCTAATGTTAAAATGCCAAAATCAAAGGGGGCACGGTGCGCCGGTGCCCCCCCCCCCCCGTTCCGCCGCCTATGCTCTCAGGTGCCAACCTGGAACGTCTAGTGTTCGTGAAGTGCAACCGGCATCTGGCCGGGGACAAGTGATGCGCATCAGTACCACCAGACGTTCCAAGGTTTAGTGTCCAATCAGTGCCCACTGTCTTGGTAGATTTGGTGGGCATTCCGCTTTCTCGGTAGGTTTAGTTTGTGTCAGAATGGTCTCAAAAATGTTTGAAATACCCAACATTTTAACGTTTTTTATTTTGCTGTAACGGAGTAACGGACTAAAAGAACTTCCGTTACATTATATACAGAGGAACGGAGGAACGAGTAACGGAAGTCACGTTTTGAGGGAACGGAGGAACGAGTAACGAAGTTACAATTTTGGGGAACGGTGCCCACCTATGTTGATAGGCGTCTTCACCAGTTACAACGTCACATTGACATTAACATCAAATAGGTTACTAACAGGTTGCCCAGCCAGCAATTTGGTTTGGCTCAAGTTGAAGTCCATTTTGCTTTGGCCTTGGCAACTCCAACATGTCAGATGTTTTTTTTTAGGCCTGTGTTAACAGAACTCTGTCCGAACAGCGGGTTTGGGTTGATTCCTGAGCTCTGTTCGCACCCCGTTTATTTACCAGCAGACTTATGACGTCGGCGGTCGATTTACGTCACGGGACATGACGTCATCACTGCAAGCTACGTGCTGGTTTATGGTTTATCTTGTACGTGCTACGTGAAAGACAAGGCCCTATAGTGAAAGAGACATATATGATGCTGTACTGACATTGGTGGCGCACATAAACAAATGCTCTCCGCACTGTTTTGTGTGTTTATTGTTTCATATAGGTATGTTGTGATTATATTCGGTTTTGAAAATTTATTTTTTGTGTTAGGTATTTAATTTTATATGCTGTTTATTTGTTCATAGAACGTTCATTTTCTATTTGTAAACGATTTTACCTGCGTTTTTGTTTTTGTTTTGGAGTACCTACTTCATAGAAGAGCATTTCAATTTAGTGTTTGATTGTGTCAGAATATGTGTGCTAAAATGCAATATTTTGCTTCATTAGATTTGCTGTCCCCTGAAGTTTGTAAGGATTAAAATACTTGGCCACTCAATATTGTCATTTTATTTCCCAATTTATATTCACAGTTATTTATTATAAGTAGGTACTGTGTGGTGATACTTTTGCTGTTTCTTCCTTCAAATTATTGTTATTGCCTTGTGTTTTATCTTGGCATACCTATCCATGAAATTTTTTATCTTAAATATAGGAAAATATTCCCAAGAAGGCACTGAATTCATAGCACTCGTACATGTGGTGATTGTTGGTGATGTGTATCCCGGACCGTGAAGCTTGAAAGCCTACTTATGTGCCACAATTTTTAATATTCAAGTTGATTTTTAATGATGAAATTATAAAAAGTTGTTCAGAACCTTGCACGGACTGGTTTGCATATGGAATGATCAGTTCTCATCAATCCAAACAAAAATATGGCACATGCTCATGAGAACATTTACTGCAGGTCTTTGTCCATTTGCTGGAAAATGCCTTCCGCCAGCTGTCCGGTAAAGTCTTCAGAGTTGGAGTACCTACTTCATAGAAGAGCATTTCAATTTAGTGTTTGGTTGTGTCAGAATATGTGTGCTAAAATGCAATATTTTGCTTCATTAGATTTGCTGTCCCCTGAAGTTTGTAAGGATTAAAATACTTGGCCACTCAATATTGTCATTTTATTTCCCAATTTATATTCACAGTTATTTATTATAAGTAGGTACTGTGTGGTGATACTTTTGCTGTTTCTTCCTTCAAATTATTGTTATTGCCTTGTGTTTTATCTTGGCATACCTATCCATGAAATTTTTTATCTTAAATATAGGAAAATATTCCCAAGAAGGCACTGAATTCATAGCACTCGTACATGTGGTGATTGTTGGTGATGTGTATCCCGGACCGTGAAGCTTGAAAGCCTACTTATGTGCCACAATTTTTAATATTCAAGTTGATTTTTAATGATGAAATTATAAAAAGTTGTTCAGAACCTTGCACGGACTGGTTTGCATATGGAATGATCAGTTCTCATCAATCCAAACAAAAATATGGCACATGCTCATGAGAACATTTACTGCAGGTCTTTGTCCATTTGCTGGAAAATGCCTTCCGCCAGCTGTCCGGTAAAGTCTTCAGACCTGAGGCATCATCCTGTTATCACTCTGAATAGCTTGGTGAGGTTGCTGAAGGCCTCTATTACTGCTTCCTCTGAGGCTCTGACCCTGAGGTGCTTGAGCAAAAAGCATTTTGGACTTAAAAGGAGGGAGTCAATTTTCTGATCCCTTGTTTTCTTGGCAGGTGATTTATCGCTGCTTAGGGCCAGCGGCCCATCGGACAGCCTTGAGAAGACCGCCGCACGCTGTTTGCAGTCCGTCGACCACCTGTCTTCAACGGACGGACGCCCTCGGTCCCACTAAGCAATTGACTGAAGCCTATCGCGCCGATATGCTCGCTCATCTTCCATCCTCCCTCGCCCTGCCTGATGGTTTCGACGACCCGGGCTGTGGTCCCTGAGTTTCGGAACCCGTCTCGCTGGCCTGCCAGCAGGAGGCCTGGCGCTCGTCGCAGACGAGCGCTGCAGTGTGGCCAAATGCCTTTAATTTTTTGGCATTGATTCGTTGTGTGACGTTGTTTTGTTCGCATGTGGCCATGTGGATAAGGCTACTGGCCAGTGGCCATAGCCTTATCCTTCTTGTTAAATTTGTTATCTGGAAATAAATGTCACCACTCACCATAAATGTGTTCTACATGGGCAATGACTAACTATTCTACTGTACATTTTACGGATGTCACATTTCATGGTGCTTCAGGATAGATATCACAAGCGTCGTACCTCTTTGTTACGTTGATGACGCACCTGTAACCGCAGGCAATAACAGCCGGACACAGGCTGACACGCGCTATTCACCGATGGGCATATGAACAGATGGGTGTCGTGATCGTGGGCATGGTACTGCCTAGACTCGGCAATAATTAGGGCATTTTTAATGCTCGTCGAACCTATCGGTTTTCTTCATCAGATGCCGTTTAGGGGGAGGGTAGATGGACTCTGCCCTCCCCGCCCCTCGCCATTTCGGACTAAATTGCGACATTTTAGGGCCGTGCAGAAGTTCACTTACGACGTCCCAAGTCAGTAACCTGACCAGACTGACCTGACCTAATAATGTGGTCGGTGTGAAGATCCGTCTTTAATGTTCAAGTGCGCCAGCTTTCATCTCTATACCAGCGCCTTCCGAGCAATTACCTTAAAAAGAAACGTCGAGGCCGACACCCGAACCCCATCTTCTCGGTGGCGAGGGCTAGGGGGTAGTGCTTATTAAGGGAGAATGGCTGTGCTATTTGACTGTGCCATTCGAGCCCTACCAACACCTGTGATGAACCGACGCCCGGTGCGAAAGGAACATCGGCGTTCTCGGGCAGTAGCGGCGGAACACCTTCAATGAAGGGGGGGGCCGGGGGGGCACTGCCGACCTTTTGTCCCATTCTAAATTCTTTCCATGCAACGCCCATAGGGCTTATGTAAAAAGGTCAAGATCAAAGGGGGCACGGTGCCCCGGTGCCCTCCCCATTCCGCCGCCTATGTTTTCGGCAAAGTTGCCAATGATTTGCAAAGTTTGAATGATTCACTGCATAATGCCAAGTCCTTTTGGCTCCTGCGAGATGTCGCTAGCGCGTTGATGAAGTTCAATATAGAGGTCACTAGCGTCGAGCCATGAAACCCAAGATTACTTTCATGAAACCTACGCAGCTAACGGATGGGGCCGATGGGGCTGCAGACAAAAGTACGCCAAAAGTACGTCGTGACCGTGGTCTCCACTGCTAAGCGACAATCAAAAGGGACATTGCTCAGCTTGTTTGGCGCACGTGTGACAGCGGCGCGGGGCGCGCCCAACGGCCGCGCCTTCGCTGCGGTT